CCTGAGACTTTGCTGAATTCATTTATCAGTTCTAGGAGTCTCTTAGATGAGTCCTCAAGGTTTTCTAGATATAATATCATATCATCGGCAAAGAGCGAGAGTTTGATCTCGTCTGTCCCCATTTGGACACCCTTAATATCCATAGGGGAATATATGCCCTTTGTGACCAGATTATGTTATTGTTAAATGAGGAAGCATTCATTAGCTAAAACATAATTTTTTAAAAAAAAGATCAGAAGCAAAGTCAATTGGATCTTTTATTCATTCATACAAATAAGAAGGAAACTATTATAAGAAATTTGGCTGACCAAAAGATCTTGTTGCTGTCCATAAAAGGATAAGGTACATGGTACTTAGAGGATAATCAGAAAACTTTCTGAAAAATTTTAATTGTTACATTACTATATGTATTCAGATTCACTTGTTAAATTACTCTCAAATCATTCGAATCTGGAAACAAAAGCTGAACTTAACTTTTGTTCCCTCTAAGGAGAAACATTAGCAGAAGTGCAGTTTCAAAAAAAGGAAATTACAGAGTTATTACAGGCTTTGGGGGAAGGGTGGATTTTAGATAAAATTTAAACGAAGTAGTGTTTTAATAGGTTCATAGAAAAGTAGGCAATGAGTAAAGAGTTAACATCAGTATGGCCATAGGAATGGCTCAAAGTACTATCCTTGAAAACCAGACAGTCAAGATAAATGTAGAGTGTACAGTTAGGAAAACAAGAATTGTAATTATGTTGATAATCTTTGGGAAACATCCTCTCATCAGCATATGACAGACTAAATGTAATAAACTAGCAAGTTATAACTCATAGAATACACTTGAAAAAATGTGCAGCCTTTTAAATGTCATTAGTATAGGCTTTAGATTTTTCTGCTTTAATGTTTACTGAGTAAATAAGCCATTTAAAATCAGTGAGACAAAGGGAAATAAAGAATATTTTAGGTGTTTATACTATATATCATTTTTCATCGTTTATGTTTACTATAGAATAGTAAAAAGTGGCACACAAAAAAGTTTATAGTGTAGTGCCCCTCTTTGCTGGAAGATCCCTGATCTGAGAAATTGGACATGGACTGGATGATAGGGTTGTGGCATCTCTGAATGGCTCAGATTCTTCCACTTTCACTAATATGATTTCAAAAAGTAAGGTTTTTTAAGACCTATGATTTTAAAGAAAAAAGCTTATAAGCACCATTCCCTGAAATTCATTAACAGAAGCTCTTTTTAAAGATTTATACCATGCTTAAAGTATGTTTATGTCACTGCTAAGCTCCAGCATATAGCAAGGTGGGAAGTTGTGTCAAGTAAATGGTTATCCAACTCCATAGGTACTTGCACAGCTCAGAATTACCCTTTTAGACAAAATAATTACTATCTTTTTTTAAAAGGCCAGGTGGGGCTCCCAGGGCCAGGGGAAATGTACCCCCTATTATCTTCTTAGACAATATCAATCCAATCCAACCCAGTAACTACTTATTGAGTACTTACTGTTATTGTTATTTAGTTATTAATCCTCAAAACAACTCTGTGAAGTATGTAAAAACACAATTTTCAAATGATATTTATTTATGCAAAAACCATCAGAAAGAGAAAATAGCCCTTTGAAGAGTATTAGAGTAACAGAGATTTATATAGTCAGTCAACAAAGGAATGCTGACAAATGATTACTAAGTTAACTGGTTAACTTTCTGCAGGGCAATAAGATACTTTGGGGTTAAGTTCTCTACAGGGCTATAAATCACAAGAACATATCAATTTCTGCATATTTACAGTTCTAACCTTACACAGCTCTAAATTATCTGTACCTTTATCAGTTTTTGATTTTTAGTCAAATATACCATGATGGCAAAATTAAATTCCCCAAGGAGAGTTAAATGAGGTCAATCAGGCTTATTTGAAAATGCTCTACTGTAACACCAAAATGTAAAGCAAGCATTACTGTGTATTTTCTTAGGTATAAAATAATTGTTTTTATTTCACATGAAGTTATTATAATTATCCCCAGTTTGTAGATAAGAAAACATAGACCCAAAGTGGTTCAGTCATTATTATTTTATTTTTACTACTGAGGAAACTAAAGCTCAAAGAGGTTACATATTCATGCTATTCACATCCATCTAATGAGTAGTAGTAGAATTGTGATCTGAATCCATACTTTTAGCAATACAATATTTCATTTCATATCAAAGGGATGGTCTCTATTCTCACAAAAAAAACACAGCTTGATAATAAAGATGAGCAATCAGATATGCAACTACATTATTATGAAAAGGTTATATAACAGAAGTACATCCTTATGTGTTCCCCCAGCCTGCAAAACCTCTGTGAAAATTCTGAGAGATGCGTTTTCATGACCAGGTAAGAATAGGTCTTAGATACATTTTGTGCAACCTTGGCAGACACAAGACTTCAAGGTGGGGTTCAGGATAAAATTAGCACCAGCAATCTCTTCCCCTACTGATGTAAATTACCCAGTAATGGAAAGGAAATTTTTACCAATTAGGGTCACATTTTTAAAAAAATGAAAAGTAAAAATTTTCTTATTATGAAAGCATTACATGGCACAAAAATAGATATAGTAGTGGAATAGAAATTCCAAATATAAGTAAAGATATGTATGAAAACTTAGTATCTCATAAGGTGACATTTCCAATCAGTTGGTGAAAAGATGGATTTTTTTTCCAATAAATGTATTGCAACAACTACTAGCCCTTGGAAAAAATAGAGCTTGTTCC